TCAATATTGTAATAGAAAACTACTGAATGTATTCCTATGATCTGATTTTGAAACAAATTCTGCATTGTGTTCACTGACAAAAGAGTATTTGAATCTAGCCAAGAATTTTAATAACATCTAACTTGATGCATTTTGAACTAAAAGAGCTTGTGTTGCTAGGAATCAAATTGGTGATGCATAGAAAAACTGTTCACTGCAACTATAATGTAAGCCTGTGCATGCAATTCAGAAGTAGATTTTCTGGATGAGCATGAAATCTAAAACCCTGGGAAGATCTGCATATTTAGATCAAGATTTATTTTCATTGTACCCACAGATACCATGAGTTCATAATCTGATTTTATTTCTTTAAATGAATTTGAGGGAAAGTCTTCAGCTTTTCAGCATACATAAATTAAAAAATCATAACATCTATAACTGGCTTGATGTAATCAATGTGGATTAGGCAGATTTTATGTCCTATTAGAGAACAAAAATATTTTCGTCCACAGAAAATTAAAATGTTACGCTATATACCCTCCATGTAATACAAAAATATTTACTATTTGAGGGTTTTGCCTATGATGGGCAATATAGATCTTTCAAAGTCTTTGTTCTTTCAGCAATGGCATATAGACAAAGGGCGCTTAGTAATGCACATAAAAAAAAATGTCATTTACTTTTAAACTTTTCAGTGACAAACACTTTTCTTTCAAGAATGGAAGTACTAAATAACTTCTAAAAATATAGTAGTTTTTACCTTGAGTTAATTCCTGCACCATTTGCTAAATGTACATGCCTAAACTCACTGAGTGCTACAGAGTTCCATGAAAGTCTCACAAAAGGCAGTTTCACTACTGATCACAGTGGACTTCATTGAGAAAAAAACAAAATACTGGAAACAAGTTCATGAGTGCAAGCTGGAGGGTAAAAGCTGAATCCCATTTTATTTGGCATTTTAACGGTTGTAGGGTTTTGGTTTGGTTTGGTTTGGTTTGACTTACATTTTAATTAAGAATCCTGTAGATTTCCTTTTTTTCTGAAGGAATTCCATGTAGAAGCATGTGTGTTTGCAGTGGGAGAGTGAGAGGACGTATCAATTGGCATTTTAAGAATGAAGTACAACATTATAGAAGAACCTTAAAGAACCCAATCCTTTTCTCTATTTAGTAAACACATACTGGCAATACAAAATCAAATAAATCTCACTGAGGTCTTAATTAGTAAAATAAACTTACAAAAATAAATATTTATAAAATAATAATATTAAACCAATAACAGCAACAAATTAACACTCATTAATTGAAAAACTGGATGATTATAACTGAAATAAACTTTATGCTTGGTCCATAAAATAATGTTTATTTTATTTTATTTTATTTTATTTTATTTTATTTTATTTTATTTTATTTTATTTTATTTTATTTTTATTATTATATCTTATTTTATTTATTTTTTATTTCTTTGGGAGGAAACCTTTCAGGCAAGGCTAGAATGAATCAAGAGTTCTCTGATGATGCTTGCCTTTTTTTGTCTCCCAAGAATATTTAGTTCATGTTCAAAAGTGGTGAACTACTTTGTGTAAGTGCATAAATACAATCTACTGATAAAATGGCATCCTTATGACTGTTCCATAGGCTCTTAATCTATCTCTCAACTGGAAAAGCTCTGTTAAAAATCCACCCATTGCTGCCTTGAGATCTCTTCTCTGTGGTTAGGATTGACATGGGAAGTGTTCAGAGGCTCACAGTTGAATGGCTTTTTTTCATTAATATCTTTGAAAGTGGTCACTTTGTTAACTTTCCTGAAAATGAAATGCACCCTGATTCTTTAAACTCAGTACTTATAAGAAGTATATTCCTTTTGTTACATCATTTTGTACCTCACATTTCTAGATTAAATTGTTAAAAAGCCAAAGTAGCATGCTTATCACCTAAATAAGGTACTCTGTAGACTTGTCCTCTACTTAACGTGAGGCAGAAAGGACATGCTTTACAACAGGATGACTCTCTCCATGGAGATGGGCCTCCATAACCTTAGCTAATACTTCTCATGCTTTAGAGCCATCTAAAGCCAAGTAACAGTGGATGTATACTTGCAGTATTTGCACCCTATGACACAATGACTAAGAAATATTTGTCATATGTGTGGGAAGAACTGCTGCAGCTCTACAATATTTTTTAATTTATGGTATCCATCTTTCAATGATTTTCTTCTGCCAGAGAAACACGAATGATAACAGAGAAATGATCTTAAAAAAATCTATGAAATGTTTTAAAAATAGTTCTAATTTTCCCTTATTTTTAATAGCTGTACAGAATTCTGTGAGAGGCAGTGTGACATTATCTTTGTTCAACAATTACTCTCATTTAGGTATCCTGGTTTTCAAAGTTCACAAAAAAAATTGAGGTCACTATGCCCAGAAGAAATTATCATCTCTAAACAAAATAAACAGCTGAAAGCAATCATAAAAACCAAATAGCCCATGTGGCTTAAAGTGAGCCTACACAGATCTAAAACTAGACAGGTCCAAAAGCAGAAAAAATGATCTGTAGGCATTCTTATCAATAGTCACTGCTTGTATTCCCTGAAAAGCTTTTGTTTTCACTAATTATCTTGACAGAAATCTTCATTGTGCTTTTACTCGGCACATAGTCCTTATTTACCTTCACTGTGCTGTAAAACTGGCTCCTTTCCTCTTAACTGGGGTTTATATAACAATTCATCTACATTATATGTTTTACCTTTTAATGAAAGAAATGGTAGTGTAGAGACTTACAAACAGTAGCGAATATTGCAACCCCTACTTTCAGGAACACTTAGACATGTCATATTTATGCTTCCGCTTTTTCTTTGGTTTCCATTCTATTTGTATTCTCAATGCAGGTCCATAATCACGATGTTCAAATGCCTAAGGGGTCAAGATCTAAATACACCTCTGATTATGTCTTTTTTACATGATCTACCGCAGACAGCTGTATTCCTTGGGAGCAATACATCTCCTGCAAACCAGAATGAAATATATTAGCAGTGGGGGAAAAAAGAATTTTTTTTTTTTTTCAGTTCAAGATGTTTCAGTTTCTATCTGGATTTTCCTTGTCCTTGGAAAATTATGTGCCACTATCGTTCTTGCTAAACCTTTGCTTCCTAATCCAAGATTTCAGAGGAAACAAAAGACTAGCATATGATAGAGTAAAAATCTTCTCATCAGTATGTGTTTATCATAAGATGTTTTTATTAAGAGAGTGGGTAGAAAAGAGTAGAACCTCAGGGCTGACCATAGATGACAAGTCTAGTTGCTAGCAGCAATTGAAAACTATGGTGAAAGTGTTCACTATTGTGAATATCATGTCTGTATTTATAAATGCCTAATGCGTATTACTTACATATATGTCACATATTTTCATAAATTTGTAGACTATCTTGTTCCACATTCATCTTTGAGATCCTCAGTTTTACCATGTAATTCACTGCAGTAAAGGAGTCACGGGAACATAAAATTTTGGTGTCTTAGCAGTGAACCAGTCACAATGCTATTGGCAGTATTTTGTTGTTCTGACAGTTTCAAGACAGGATCCACACAATAGGAAGCATCATAAGCTGGTTTGGAGAGCAATATAATGAGTAAACTTGTATTCTGAATGGAAAAAAATGCAATATTCAGAAATGTCATTATAATTTTAGACTTGCATGCCATACACGTACACTTCCAGGAGTTTTGTGTTTTATTTGGGAAGTGTTGTTGGTTTGTTTGGTTGTTTTATTCAGCTTTTTGTCTCACTGGTCTTTTTCAGTATTTCAACAGCATAAAAATAATTTACCATGATTATGACTTAAACTGGACAACTTTTTCATAAATACAATGTTGCATTTGTTCCAGTCTTTTTTACGAAAGCAAAACATAGTAAGCTTGTGATTTGCAGATTATATTTTTTCACATCCTCACTTGAAGGTTTATAATTGATTGCCTGCAAAGGCAAAATACAATAGAAATTATATTTACTACTGTACCAGAAAAATCCAGAAATTATGTGTAATACAGAGTGATATCCAAGATTGTTTTTCAGTCTTCATATGCATTGAAATTCAATAATGTATCTTCCTTGCTTGTAAAAGGTAATATTTTGGTATACCAGTAACCAACTAGTATACCAAAGTATAGTATACCAACTAGTAGCCAACCTACTGTTGGTTGTATCAGAGGAAGTGCATAATTCAAAATATATAACATTTATTTCAGACTAATATTCTGCATGAAAGAAGTTTTTGCAGAGAGCTTTTGTGGTTTTTGTTTTGCATCTCAAAGTATGGTCCAAATTCAGAATTAGGTGGTGTAGATTTTCCTCAGTATTCAGGGAAAGCTACATAAATTGGAGAAGTCAATAAAAAGCATGTTACTGAGCTAATGGTGCAGTGTCATTTTACTGCCATTTGCAGGATGGCTGCATAGTAAATTTAGTAAAACAAAAAAAGACCAGTTACTTCAAATAGGAGTCAGGCAGAGAATGAATTACCGTTTAGTTTAGATGAAGGAAGAACCAAAGGACTGACAATCTGGTCAAATGCAGGCATACTTTGAGAGATTTTTTCTTTCCAAACCAGCACACAAAGCTGTTAAGACTCCATTATATTCATGGACATGTGGGAAAGTTTTTTGTTTTCCATATTCTTTATCATTTCTTTTCTGAAAATGCATAAAGAGCACACCATTTGAATTTCATTGCTTAAAAGCAGATTGTTCCTTTACTTAACCAACATAAGTAAAAGTAACCTGTGTAATCTCAGCCCTCTGGCTTTTATGGAACAATAATCATTTTCTTACAAAACCCGTTTGCAGGGTATTCATATGTCCACCACAAAGAAAAAATTGCGTGCCATCTCATTTTATTATATCCATCAGCTGGCTGTCCATTTGTTGTGGAGTGTCTGCTGTGACATAGGGCCATGAATCTATTTGGCTGTAATAGATTGCCTGTAGTGCATTCAGTGACTCTGGTACCTGTTGCTGGTTCTTTTTCCAGGTCAACTGGCTGCAGGTACATGTGAGATTGTTACTTTGGACAGAGATAGCAGTCAGCCCCGAAGGACTATAGCCCGACAAACAGCTCGCTGTGCATGTAAAAAAGGACAGATTGCCGGTACAACAAGAGCAAGGCCAGCCTGTGTTGATGGTAAGAAGCAAAGTTCAATTCAATGAGTTTCTGCCAATACAAGAGGGGTGTAAAACTGGTAGTGTCTCATAAAAAAAATGAAAGCTCTATACAAAATTTTTTTATGTGTCCCAACTAGTAATGGCAATATCATGGAAATTCCCCAAGAGAGTATTACTAATAGTATAGATATTTCAGTGATTTATTTTTTTTTATTGGAATTTCACTTTTGTTTTAATTTCATATGCAGTTGAATGTTAACAGAATGCTCCTGTTATGTTTTGCATGTGATGATAGCATCAGCAATAAAATGGCATTCTTTTCCCCCTACTTTTTATTTCTTACCTTTTTATTAAAAAAAAAACAAAAAACACCTCAACAAAACCACTGTAAAAGAGCCTGAACAGTTTTATGCCACTGGGAAGCTAATGTGACTGCTCCTGTGTGATAGTTCACGTTGTTGAAGAAAATACAGATACTATAGTTAGAATACAGTATCTGAATATACCTCACATGTCCAGCATACATCGCTCCTTAAAATTATGATTCTGTATGATTCACTGCAGATCCAGTGATTGCATGCAGCTGGAAAACTGCTGACATACAGGGAGGTATGAAAATGTTTCACTCTGCAATCAGTTTTTGAGACAAATGAATTTCTGTGTTACAGCTAAATCAGATGTTCACAGTGGGACAATCTTCAAGAGAGGTCTGCCCATGCAAGGCCATTAGCAAACTTTTAGATTAAAAATAAATTTGGAGACATATTGAAAATAGTTGATGCAAAATTGTATGTTTTGATCTAGGCTCAGTTAACAAAAGTAAAAAGAAGATGAGTGTGTATAGAACTATAACAAATTCACAGATTGCCTTTGAAGGCTGACTAGTTTGAGTCCTCAGATAAAAATATTGCTGAGAACACCCAACTGTTGCCTCAGAATTTGGTCTTACCAGTGATCATCAAACAAGACAGCTCAAAGGAGATTTCAAAGCCTACCCAGAGCTGAATATAGAACATCATGCACATTCTATTTTTGCATTTGGTTTTAGTACTGTAAGACAGTTTCTTAGCTGTCTTTTTCGTAATGTGATACAATGTCCAGTAAATCTTTCCTGTTTTATTCTAGCAGACTTAACTGCTTAAGGAAGGAACCATGGAATCATAGAATGATTTTATTGTGTCATTTATAGTTGTAACCTCAGAAAAAAAAATGTTTAGCAATTAATTTTTTAACATGTGTTTCCCTTTTTAAAACAAATTTATAAGGGAAAATATGAGGTGTTCCTCTTCTAATGGGAACAAAATACAATTTTTTCTCAGTCAGTTATGGCCTGTGGTGAGATTCATTTGCTGTAACTTAGGTATCCATTGTTAGTTGTCTAACCTGGGAACTTCAGTTTTCCTTTATACCCAACAGAGTAAAAGGCACCTTATTAGAGTACTTTGTCTCATCTTCAGTGCCTCAGATAAATCAGATGTCCTGGTACTCACTGTTTCTGCCTTGCCTTGAATCACCTGTGATGCTGAGAGTTTAGCAGAATGTACATGTAAGAAGACATGACTACACCTCATCCTCTAATTGCTGTATTAGGTTAGATTCCAAGCATGAAAGTTTTGAGATAATTTAATATTTGAGAACTCTATCTATCTATCTATCTATCTATCTATCTATCTATCTATCTATCTATCTATCTATCTATCTATCTATCTATCTGTCATCTGTCTATCTACCTATCTAATCTGTCTACCCTGTCTATCTTATTGGCCACTCAAGAAGGTCTTTCAAATCTCCTTTTGCTTTCAGTGTTCTTGATCATCATTTTATGAAAACAGAGAACTGGATGGCAGGGTCTATGCTGAGATATTGTGTAATCAGAGAGGGTTCTTTATGTAATACTCCACATTTGAAAAATAAGTGGGAAGTTCATCAGTTGAAAAATAGAGCTCCCCATTAACTGACACGTCCAAGTACTATAATTAATCTTTTTAAAGCTTTTCAACCTATCTCTAATAAGATCTAATAACACAGATCTTTAATATTTTGTGAAATGTTTATAATTAAGATGTTGAGCCCTTTGCTAGGAATGATAATTGCAAGACATGTAGGAGATGCTGCTTCACTTTCCTGGGCAATGTTAGGGATGTTCTGTAATCAAAGCTCAAAAAGGTTAACGATATCTACAATCATATATCAAGTTCCCAAATTAAAATGAAGGCACAAGCCAAATCCTCGATCTGTAGGTTTATTCTTGAATTAAGTTAAAAAAATACTTGTACATACCATAATTATATACGAAAGAAGAAATGAACATTTTGTCTTCACTCTAATCTTCTCCTTGCAAATACAGCTGTCAGATAAATCGGCCATTGACTAACAACTATCCAACTGTGAATTTACCAGGTTCATAGTTTAAAGAACAGTAGTTCAAAGAATTTTCCATTTTGTTTATATTAATTTCTAGATGTTTCAAACACAGCTGCTAGTGCTTTCTTCTGGACAGAACATGAAATCTACCTAAAATTAGGTCTGAGAGAAGCTAGTTTTGTCTCTGATACTAAGGCAAATACTGCTAATTTAGGAAGACAACAACCAAACATATTTGTCAGGTATTCTTTTACCATAAAGAATCACATTTCCCAAACAATTATGTCCTTCTCTTAGCTTTCTTAAATAGGACACAGAGTGTGCTTTTGCACATTTTGTTTATTTGTAATATACTGGATGTTAAGAATGTAATTGTTGTTTAAGAATACATTTCTGCTTTCAAAAAATCTTACTGGTGGTGTTTGATTTTTAATTTCATTTTATTCTTTATATAGTCTTGATTTTAATGAGGTTTCTTTGAAGTAAAGGTAGCAGAATTATACCTTAGACTTTTAATTATTAATACAAAGTCATTTGTGAAGGAAGCAGGCATAAGAAGCATGACCTGCTAACCTACTGACCAGAAAACATTAGCTAACAACTGTGTCACAGCTTCTGGCAAGAAACTGTTTTAAAGATTCAGTACCAAAGCTGTTAATTTTTACAACCTTCAAATGCATCATGTTGTACCTGGCTACCATTTGTTCACCATTGTTTAACGGAGAAAAGTGCCTTAGAATATATTCTGTATGTTGCCTGGAGTTCTGAAATGCAAGTGTCAATTACTGCAGCAAAAAAAAGTAATTTAAGGGCCCTTAAACCTCACAAGCATTGTCTGAGATTGCACTTGTGAACATAGCTCTTAGAGTAAGCTCTGAGTTGATTACCAAAATCCATTCTGCTACGTCAGCTAAGGCCTTTTCCTAAAAAATGAAAGACAGTATATGTCAGATAGATAAAACTGGAGTTGTTAAAAATGAAGATGCAGTGTTCAGGGTTTGGTCTGAGCAGAGCATGAAGAACAGATATTTTCTTGAAATGCCTCCTTGTGATGGAGAGTGCTGATTTACTCCTTTATTTTTTTCTAGCAGTCTTTAAATATGGCAGATTGCTAATGTAATCTGAAAAAATAGCGTCAATATTCACCCTGATTTCAAGCTTGATTTAGTGTTGATTGCTTCATTCCTAGACCCACAGAGTCATAATGTATGTTTGGTATGTTTGGTTGTGATGGAATTTTTATTCATGAATGTAGGGTTTGTGATATTATGACAGTAGTTTGCCTGCACTTTTAGCTATATTATTATTATTTACAACTAGCAGTCCCTAGTCCCTTTTCTGTGATCAAATTCCACAGCAATGACCTCAGTTGCATTAGTTTAATAAGATATTATGCTTCAACATAGCATCTGGTTTATCACCACAGTAATTTCCCTGTGTGTCAGTCAAGCTTCATCAGTTTTTTAAGCTGGAGCCTGTGAGAGATTGGGAGATAGCAATTATTCTCTTTTTTTTCCCAGTGTGAAAACAGCATGCGTACACATGCACCCATGGTTTGCATTCCTTATTGCATCCACCTGAAAATCAGATTTGTTACGCCAAAGCATTTCGTAGAATACAAGTATATTAATCTGTAAAGTGTGGGATGGATGTTTAAGTGTTCAGTAGGTCCCAGTAATTCTGTCCAATATGTATTTATAGCTCAAAAATAAATTGTAATTTCCCCCAGAATGTCAAAACAGTTTATAAGAGGAAAAGTGGTATGAGAGAAGTTGCTTAATTGCCCAAGGAAACGAGGATGGCAGTCTTTAATTTGATTACCTGAAATCGGTGATTAGAAGATTCTCATGTTCTGGAATTGAGTTCTGGTTGCTTTTATGCTATTGATCCTGATACCCCATATTCCTAAATTTCAAATAGCTGGATCTCAGGTAACTGAAGTCAAAGTGTTAAGACAATTTATGTTGCAAAAAAAAATCTTCTTAAAAAAAAAAACCCAAACAAAACAAAACAGAAAAACATAAAACACCACCTTTTTAAAATTTTAATAGGGTTTTATTCTTTGCAAGCATTGTAGCGATATTATTTTCTAGGGAATCTTAGTCGATAAAACGTTTTTCATACCTTATGATTAACATGGTTTTCAGTTGGCATTGACTGATTTTGTTTAACACAGAAACTCAGTATCTACAAGGAAGACACATTAGTTTTGATCGATAATTCCCTGCTCTTCTCATTATCTCTGTGAGTCTGTGGGGAGGTATAGGGGCCAGAACTGATCATTAATAGAATCCTAAGTCATGAACTTGAAGCAAAACTGCCTAGTACCTGGAGGGCTTCATCATTCTCAAGTATCTTATCCATACTTGGAAAAAAAAAACAAAAACAAAATAATAAAACGAAGGGGGAAAAAAAGGACTATCATGATTTTCAGAATTGGGAATTTTAGCTTTCATGTTTAGAATATTTCATATCCTTGTTAATATGCCATTTATATTATTTTATCCTGTGTGTATTGCACATATTTGCAAATGTTTCCTCACTGTAAATATTATACATTCAACTTTGTTACATTTAAGGTATGTCATTTTAAAAGAAATAAAACCAAAAGGCAAAGAGGGATGAATATGAAATTAAAAGGAGATTGAATAATGT